GAACGTTTGAATCTAATTAAATTTATACATTAACTTTTTAATTCACTATTAAGATTCAGATAGTTTAACTATCCGAAGCTAAAAAATTCTACATGTATAAATAGTAATGATTTTAAATAATTTGCATTTTAAGTTCTTTACATATTTATAATTTCAGCTATTTGCTTACTTACTTAATTCCGATGTGAATCAGAAAATATTCATCTGAAAATATTGAAGATATCACACCTTAGCAAGACGAGACATGAAATTTGATTTCTGAGACGATTTGTTCAGCTTTATATAATAAAAAAGAATGAGACAAAATACAAAAAAAATACGAAAAAAATTCAGAAAAGTCAGAAAAAAATAAGGAAGAAGAGCAATACTAGTTTCGACGGATTCATGGGCGCCGACAAAATTATTTGTAGAACGGTATACCTAGAAGATTTTAAATTCAAAATTTGGACAGCAACCAAGACAATTCAAGTTTTTGTTTCAACATTGATTTTTCTAAAATTACACAAAATAAAAACCTTATAATTATCAATCTTCTAAAATTGATTATTCAAAGTTTTATTATACAAATGTTATGTAATCAAAATTTATGCATTTAGTTCCTGTTTAACTGAAATTGAACAAAATATGAAAAAAATTATTTTTCATATTTTGTTCAATTTCTTTTTTTCTGTGGATTTTTTATTTCCCATTTATTTTTATAAGCCGTGAGGGATGTAAATGTATCTTTTTGTATTCCCCTTGCGATGCTCATGAAAGAATCGTTGCATTTTTTATTAATTACAAATTTCTTTCAAAGAGATGATATATTATATGACTATGCAAATAAGCAAATGGCACAGAGTTCTTAAAAAGATCTTTCCAAACTCAGTAAAAGAGGAATGAGTGTTTTATTTCCATAAACAATCTGACAAGCTCCTATAAGTTCTTGATTACAGCAGGGAACATTAGTAAAAATATTTCTGAATATTTTTAAAACATTTTATGGCTTAAGAATAAATCTAATATACGTTGAAATAATTTTCAATTCACAAAATGTAAATGATACACTTAGATAGCATAGGACATCCTATGGATATTCATTTCTTGTCTATTTCTGGTTTAGATGTCAATGGACTTTTATAAGCTGTCCATAAGATATACATTTATGGATATTCTAAGAATATCTCTAAATGGACAAGTTTGTATGTCCATATGCTATTCGCACTCATGGTGGAAGTATAATGCGGGGTCTATAATAGAAGTCGTAGCGGTCGTAAAGTCTTAAATCATAAAAAATTGATCAATTACAGTATGAGAAGAATAATTGACTATGATTGATCAATTTTCTACGACTTAAGATCCTATGATGGCTGTGACTTCTATTGTAGACTCCGTATAAAGACCATGGTACATTTAAAAAAGTTACATAAAAACTCAGAATTATATAAAAACAGAGTTATATAAAAACTCACAAATGCATAATAAGAATAATATTATAATTATTTTGTATATGCAACGTTATTAAAAGCTGTAAATATCCAAAACTTTTCGATAGCAGTGTATATACAACCATTATACATTATGTAATAGATATAAACAAATTGTAGCTTCTTTGTAATTGATTGTGCGTGAAATGTGTTTATCAATGGATACACATATATACATATATGTTTATATACACACGTATTCATTACAATTGTATAATTGTTGTATAGTTGTATAATTGTATAGTTGTTATTTTTTCTTTAATTAATATACGTACAATAAGTTTAGCAATGGACACATATATATACACGCGCGTGCGCACGCACACGCACACACACACACACACACACACACACACACACACACACACACACACACACACACACACACACACACACACACACACACACAAATATATATGTATATTTATATACAGGACGTCCTGAAAGTTTTTGTCAATCGCTTTTGTGTAGTTAGAGTAGACTAAACTGAGTTGAAAAGTCCTGTATCATTTTGCAATGCTCGCAATAGTTAACGAAATATGATCGTTAAAGATAGCCGAATAAGTGCGTCTGTTCAGCCTACTAATGCCAAAGCGTACGCCCATTGATGGCTCGGCACGCGAGCTGCGGAAAGTGAGAATAGCTTGATAGGCGCGCCGATCAAATCATGACATGAAGATTTGCAGCGGCGTGCGCAGCGCGAGGCGCTTGACAGGCAGGCAGTTCTCACTCCCAGCGCCAAGCAATTGCGATGGCGGATATTCAGCACTTTAGAAATTAATATCTCGATTGCGAAAATTAGGAAATGGTTGAGAACTCTTCGAGAGCTCAATTTAGTTTTCTCTTTAAAATGTTTCGTTATGCTAATCCACAGTTTTTTACACTTATACTACATACCGATTTTAATTATGAATATTTTTTTAATTTGATAAGTATTGAGAATAACACAATGTAGGTCGAAACGTGTAATTAGACAAGTTTCATCAGTTTAATTAAATAATATATTTTTTATGCGTATGCGTATCATACAATTATACAGGGTGTCTGGAAATAATCACCAAATATTTCATGGGCAGATAGAGCGGACTAAACTGAGTCGAAAAATCCTCTACCATTTTATAAATTTCCCCAATAGTTAATGAGATATTAATCCTTAAATATAGCTGAATACATGTGCTCGCCCGGCCTACTACTGCAAATGTATATGCCAACCAATCACTTGGCACGCGGATCTTGGGAGTTGGGGATTGGCTGGCAAGCGCCTCGCGCCATGTACACCGTCGCAAGCCGCCATAACTCAGATGGCACGCTTGCCAGGCTATCCCCGTTCCTCGCGGTCCGCGCGCCAAGCGCGGATAAGCGTATATACTTCACAGTAGTATTCGGCTATTTTTAAGGATTAATATCTTGTTAATTATTGGGGAAACTTATAAAATATTTGGCGATTATTTTCAGACATCTTGTATATATAAGGCATCAATTTACAAGATGGGCCTCACCTGTCTTGAGCAGGTAGAGTGGAATAAACTGAATCAAAAAGTCCCCCAACATTTGCAATGTTCACAATAGTTAACGAAAGATATTAACGTTTAAAGATAGCTAAATACGCGCGTCCGCCCGATCTATAATTGTCGAAGATTCGGCTCACCGAGCGTACAATACGTGGGTCGCGAGAAGCGAAGTCTAGCAGGCGTGC